TGTGGGTTGTTTCTCATTTTCTTGATAATGTTCTTTGAACACAAAAGTTTTTAATTTTGGTGAAATCCAACTTCTATTTTTCTGTTTCCTTGTTCTCTCAGTGTCATATCTAAGAGACCATTGCCTGATCCAACATCATGGAGATTTACATCTCTGTCTTCCTTTAAGAGTTTTATAGTTTTAACTGCTGCAGTAGGTCTTTTTCATTTTAATGTTTACATACGGTGTGAGGTAGGGATCCAACTTCACTCTTTTGCATATCGATACCCAGTTGTCCCAGCACTATTTGCTGACAAGGTTATTCTTTCCCCATTGAATTATCTTGGCACCCTAGTTGAAAAAAATTTAATTAGGTATTATTTTGCGTTTATAAGTGACATTGATATATTTACTTTTTTAGTGCCATTTTTGTCAGGCACTGTTTTCAGGTTTCTATAAGTGTCATAAAATGAATCGCATCTTTTTCTATGGTTTGGGAAAACAAAAGGTCTAAAGTGGTTCAAGATCTAAGTGGTTCAAGCCCCCTGGAGGGGTTCTCCTTACTCACTCTGATACTTACCTTATTTGGTGGCAGTCCCAGGCTTCTGCGAAGTGATGAGTTTAAACCGCAAATGAATACTTAACTCAGCTGAGTTTAAGCTGTATTTTAAGAACAAGTCACTACTTAAGAACAATTTTATCCCTTCCTTCCCCCGTCCATGTCAGCTTAAGTTATCCTCTACATTAAAAGTTTGCTTACCCAAGGTTCCTGTCATCTTTCATTTATTCTGAACGCCCATCATTTTCCCGGGATCTCCAGCTGCTGCTACTTAATCTAAAGAAAATAGAACCTGTGGAGTTGACATGTTTGCTTTTCTAAATACCTTGCATCTGGCTTTACATTAAAATTTTCTTCTCCATGTGAAGATTAGAGCATAGAGCACACGCTGCCTGGGTGTGAAGCCTGACTCTGCTGTATGCCAGCTTGTACAACCTTGGTAAGGTCTTAGCCTACTCACCTATCAAGCTAATCACAGGACCCACCACAGTGGATTGCCGAGAGTGTTACATGACTTAACATCCAGAAGGCATTTAGAGCAATTCTTGGCCCTTAGAATACCAAGGCTATACGTGTCTTTTAAAGGTTGAAATTCCAGAGCTTACATGCTACGCTTATTTTATTTCCCTGATTTCTAAATAGAAATGTTCTCCTCACTAGTGCTCTACTATTTCTGGTTCAGCTGCCTCTCCTTCTCTTAGACTGTCCTTTGATTCTACCTGCCTACTGAGCCTCCCTCAAACACCAGATAGCCCTTCCAAGAAGAGCTTGACAAAATTGGGCCATTGTCCCATCCCCTTTTCCTTTCTGAAGATCCTCCAGTGTGTTTCACAGTGAATTTAGGAAGTCCATGACTCTGCCACATCTTGAAAGTGGTGATAAGACACTATCCCCATGGTCGATGTCCATTCTAAGATGATCTCATGACTTCCTGTTGCACTGTGGCTAGCAGAGAGAATGCATCTCACTTAAGGCCCACATAAACCGCCATGGCCTTAGCTAACCATACGCTTGTAGATTTAATTTAGGTAGTGATTTGGTGAAATCCATTGCCATCCCTTGTAAGCTTTAGATCCTTCAAACTCCCTTCTGAATGTTTCTATCACAAGCTGAGCTTATTCGAGACTGGACTCATTGGTATCCCAGCAAATCTTCTCCTTTGGTATTCCACTATCTGGAAATGGCACCTTTACTCACCAGCCACCCAGTTAAAAATAAACCTGGAAGTCATTCTGGATGCTTTCCTCTCACCACCCTCATCAAACACTAGCCCAAATCATTTCCATCTCTCAAACATCTCTTGAACTCATCCTGCCTTCAGTGGTTTAACTGCAGTCCTTGTTGCCAGCAATGTTCTCTTTCATCCACTCTTGATCCTGTTCACCAGTAATCTTTCGTAAATGCAAACCTGACTTGCTGACAATTCCTCAAGAGCTCCCTGAAGTTTTCAGTGGGAGGTGGGGTGGGCTTCAAGTTTTATAATTCTCTCTCCTAAGCCCTACTTGACCTAACTGCCCATCTGGGTACAACGATGAACACAAAGATGTTCTTGTCAAGGGCCCACTTCTGCATATCTGTTCAGGATGCAGCCCTCTCTCACCTGCTCCACTGTTCTAGGATTTCCCCACTTTTCTTACATTCTGTCTCCTCCTCTCTACTGAATCATTCTCATTGGCATATAAACTTGCTCTCTCCCCTCTTCGTCTTTCCTTTTGTCCAGCTACAGCCATAGTTGCTTTCCCTTTAAAAAAAATTTTGCCAGTAGAGTTGTCTAATACTCATCCCCAGTGGTTGGCCTCATGTCCACTACTGGCCCATGCCCATCTGGCTTCTGCCCCACTTGGTCTAAGACTGCTCTCATCAGAGCCATCAGCAACCTCCATGTGCCAGATGAAATGAAAAATGTCTCATCCTCAACTCACTCCCACTCTCCCCCACATTTAACACTGCTCACCATTCCCAGAAACAATCTTAGTGTTTTGTTGACTTTGAGGAAAACTAAGACATGTATCCCACATCTGATTGCTCCTTCCTTCACATACCACACTTACAACGTAACTCTACCCCAATTCCCTACTTAACCTCATCCATCCACTGTTGTTGTTTTAAATATGGTACCATCCATGTGCTGTTACTTTCCTAATTTGTTTCTGATCCAGGCTTGTCTTCAGAATTCTAAATCATAAATCACTTCCTACTCAACATTTCTGCTTGGATGTGTCATTAGTATTTAGATTTGATTTTGTCCTAATTGACTTCTACAGCCACCAGCCCCAGCACTTAGGCATGTACATCCACACGCAGACACTTGTACATGTATACACATGTACACATGCACATTCTCACATGCACACATGCACATTCTCACACACGCAAGCACACACATACAGCCGATCTTTCTCCAAAGTTCTTCATATCACTTACTGAACAACCATCTACCATTTGCTCCTGCTGTGATCCTGGGAGTCTACCCTGACAAGCCCATTTTCCCCACCCCCACATCCACCCATCCCCAAGTGCTTTGGACCTATTCCCCAAATACATCTTGAATGCATCCATTCACTTCCTCTTGGCTTGTGACAAGCCTTGTCCAGACCACATTATCCCTTATGTCTGGGTTTCTGCAACTGCCTCTTAAGTGATCTGGCTACTTGATCCTTTCTTCTTTTGCTACTGCACCAATCCATATTTCACATACAACCAGAATGACATAAGTCTGATCATGCCACTTCTTTTTTTAAAATCATCTGCACTTAGAATGAGGCACGCACCAGGTGGTATGATTGGAGAAGTCCCCTTTGAAAAAGTGACAAGGCTGAAGCGTCAAGGATGAACAAAGGGTCAGCAGTCAGCCAGAAGAATGACAGAGAAGGGTTTGCACTCCACTTAGAGGAGAGAGCAAGTGCAAAGGCCCTGAGGTATGAAAGCCTGGAGCTTTTAAGGAAAGAAGGAGGGCTAAAGGAAATGGAGCATAGCAAGGGAAGCAGCAAATGCTAAGAAATGGTGATGGAGAAGTTAGCAAAGCCCGGGCCATGGAGGGCCTTAAAGGTCATGAAATGAGTGCTTCTGTAATTATTTCTAAATATGTATACATACAGTCTATTTTTGCCAGCTTTCTGCAAGCTACACAGGGAACCATCCATGCCTATTCACTGTTTGTTCCCTGTGCCCAGTACAGTGCCTGGCACATAGCAGGTGCTAAATTTTTATGGAGCACTGGAGAGGAGAAATGTCTCCAGCATTCCAGCCAGGCCAAGTGGCTGGCAATTGCCCAAACATATTGTGCCAATCCTTCTCTTAAGATCCTCATTCTTGTCTAGCTCAGTGATTGTCAACCAAGCAGTGATTTTTGCCTCCAGGGAATGTTTGTTAATGTCTAGGACATTTTCAATTGTCACAGTTGCAGGGGAGGAGATGCTACTGGCATCTGGTGGGGAGAGACCAGGGATGCTGCCGAACCTCCTCCAGTAGACACATGAAGACAATTATTCAGTCTAAAATGTCAACAGCGCCAGGAGTGAGAAGCCCTGGTCTTACTAATTCTACCTGTCCTCTAAGCCTTTGTGAACATCACCTCTTTCGGAAAGTTTTGCTTCCTCATCAACCAGCCTGAGTTTGGGGCCCCTCCACTGAGCTCCCCAAACCTCCTTTATGTGATTCATTCCCTTGTCTTGCGACTGCCTGTCCTGCCTCTCACTGGAAGGTTGGGCTACATGTTTCATCAGTGTGCATTACACACAGGGAGCCATCCATGTATTTTCTTGAATCGGTGCAGCCCCCGGAGCTGGGGATAGGAGGGTGCAGATGAATATTGTAGAAACATTTTAAAACATAGTGTTGACCTATGAGCTCATAGGTAGTAGGACTTATCCAGACCCCATCTCTACCTCTGGGAACCTGCCTGTCTCCAGGTGTCTGTGCTGGTGTGTAACCTACAGAAATGGCAATTTCCTATGGCCCCAACCTCATAGCATGGCTCACCCCTTTAGCTATTGCCTTAAGTTTTGAGTTACTCAAGTTTAATCCCACTAAAATAAGACATAGAATTAGGGCATATAGCAGGTTCCTAACAATGAAAAATATAGGGCAGAAGCTTCATTTGCAGTCGGCTTTCCTGTGGGTCATGACCTGCTCGATCCACCAGCAAAAATTAAAAATCTCTGTGGCCACATGCTTGCGGGCTTCAGATCTTGTGCCCATCGTCAGAAACACTTGAAGCCCTCCCTCTTTGGATTCAGGTTCGAAATGGACTTTGGTTGAAACGCTGTGCCCCTTGGAAGGGTTCTCCCCCTTGTCACGGCCCTGCCAGCTCTGGCTCCCACTTGCTTTCTCCCCCCGGCTCTCCTCTTCTCTCCCCTGCGGGGGTAGTTCTGGTCCTGCTGGCTGGGGAAGGAGCCACCGAGGTGCCAGAGGTGAGGGCAGGGCTGGGCACATCACCTCTGGCTCACTGCTCCTGCTGCCGCTACGAGGGAAGCGCCCTGGCCTGGGGCCGCGAACATTCACTGCCCTCTGAAGGGCTCTGTTCCTCCTCCTCCTCCAGCTTCTGCTCCCGGACTTGGCCCCAGGCCCGCCTTCTCTCCAGCATCTCCTCAAAAAAGATCTGGCAGCTGAAGCCCTCTTGGATGCCATACTGGGCATGCTTGAGCAGAGCCTCCAACGTGGGGAAGACCCGACAGCAGGCCACGCAGCGCAGCCCGTAGTCCGTGGTGACCAGCCAGTCCGGGGTGTCCCGCAGCTCCTGCGGGCAGCACTCCAGGGGCCCCAGCAGCTCCGCGTCATCCTGCTCTGGGCAGCAGTGGCTCTTGCTGGCTTCCAGTTCCCAGCACAGGTCGCTGTTGGAAGCCATCTCAAAGGAGGAGCCTTTCCTCCTCTGCCTCTTGACGAACTCGGCCTCGTGAATGCGGGGCTTCCGGCTGACCGGCTCAAAGCCCGACTCGGTCTCCCAGGCCACGGCCACGCCCTGCACCGTCTGTACGTGGGTGTAGAAGGCGCACACCCTTCGCTGGGCCGTGTCCTCGTCGTCGTACAGGCAGGAGTAGCAAGACGGGTACTGGGAGTAAGACTGATACTCGGAGGAGGACCGGGAGGACGAGGAGCCGCTCCAGCTCAGCATCGCAGGAGCCCTGTGGGCCAAGCACACGTTCTCCTCGTGGGGAATGGCCGGCCCCGACCGTGAAGGCGTCTTCTCTCTCTCCACCGTCCCTGGGAAATGGAAGGACATTTTCATCAGCGTCCCCGCAGGGATCAGTGCCACAACCCACCTCCCGGGTTCCGGAAGGGCGCAGGCTCAGGAGTCCTTGGGCAGGTACCATCAGCTCCTGTGTTGTGTTTCCCCATAAAATGGGGATGAGGATGCTTACCTCCTGGGGATACGAGGTGAGGATCAAATAATGTATGAATGGAATCACCAAAACCTTGACTAAACCCCAAAAAGACCATCAACTGGTGAATACACAGATTAGGGTACATCCATACAGTGCAACCCTATTCATGGATAAAAAAAGGAATGATCTACTGATATATGTAAAACATGGATGAATCTCCAGGTGCCTGGGTGGCTGGCTCAGGGTTGAGCGCCCACTGTTGGTTTCGGCTTGGGTCATGATCTCATGGTTTTGTGAGTTTCAAGCCCTGCATCGGGCTCTGTACTGACAGTGCGGAGCCTGCTTGGGATTCTCTCTCGCCTTCTCTCTCTCTGTCTCTCCCCCATTGCGTTACCTCTGTCCCTCTCAAAATAAATAAATAAGAACTTTTAAAATATGCCTTTAAAACATGGATGAATCTCTAATGCATTACTCTAAATGAAAGCAGCCAGGGTAAAAAGGCCCTATACTGTAGGATTCCACTTAGATGACATTCTAGATGTCATTCTAGGAAAGGTAAAACTATAGGGAGGGGGAACAGATCAGGGGTTGCCAGGAGCTGAAGGTGGCAGAACTCACTGCAAAGGGTCACAAGGAAACTTTGGGGATCATCAAAATGTTCCAGGTCATGACCATGGTGGTGGTTATGCAAATGTACATTAACAAAAAATTCTTCAAATTGTACACACTGATGACACTTTCATGTGTAAATTAACAGCTCAGTAAAGCCAATTTAAAAAGCCACGCATGTGAGGGGCGAGATCCCCTGAGTGGCTCAGTCGGTTGAGCATCCAGCTCTTGGTTTGGGCTCACATCATGATCTCATGTTCATGAGTTTGAGCCCCACATCGGGTGCCTCACTGACAGTGCAGAGCCTGCTTGAGATTCTCTCTCTTCTTCTCTGTCTGTCCCTCCCCCATGCTCACTCTCTCTCAAAATAAATTTTTTAAAAGGCTTAATTTAAAAAAGCATGGAAAGTGCTTTGGCCAGGTCATCCAGCACCCCCTTCCAGAACCTTCAGCATTTGTGATGTATCTTGTTCTTACCTGGGGAACATCTCGCCCTCTCCTTAAACATTCACTGTACCCCATCACCATATAAGTGCTTGCCATGTTTTAACTCCGTTAATATTTTTAAAAAAGCCCTACGAAATTACCTTGTAACAATTCCTCTTTGACAGATTAGGAAACTGAAGCACAGAGTTTAACTAACCGTTGAGCTGGTGTTACCCTTAGGGGCTGCCCATGGTCACGTCATAGGGGTCTTCAAATTGATGTTCTGAATTAACTTTAATCAATTTACTATAAGGGACTTTTTTATATTATTCTGAAATCACAGGGCTGACATGCCAATTCTGCTTCTCTGATGTGTATTAAAATATATATTCACATTTTACGTTTTCATCCTTGTACCTCCTGAAATCTCCTCGTGTACTCACAATGGCCTCAGGCATTGGTCCATTTTTATGGCCAATACACTTTTGCAACAGCACTGAAGGGTGACCCAGTGCCCATCCCTCACCCTCCAGGACCTCCCTCCCAGGGAACCAACCCTCTCTCTTTTTACCTACCTGAACCGCACACTTCCACACTCTCCCCTGTGGGCTCTGGGCTGGCCAAGCTGAGGCTGGTCCCATCTGTTGGTGATTGTTCTCCCCTGTGGTCTGTGAAGTGGCGTTTCATGACTGGACACCAGAGCCCAGAGGACTCGGCGCTCCAGCTGTTTAGTGAGGGTTGGCTTGGGCTGTGCCGAAGTCCTCCGCTGGCCCCAGCCCAAGTGGCTGCTGGGCTCCCTGTGGTTACTAGGATCCTGGCTTTATTCTGTGACCTCATCGATGACACTGGTCTGTTCTGTGACCCATGGCAAGGACTGAGACCCAGTCTAGAGGGGAGGAGAGGCTTCTCACCAAGATCTCATTCCTCGGTGGGACCCTTTCCTGTCTTGTTTATTGTCAGGATCGCAAAGATAAAACACAAATGCACACACATAGAAACACTTACACACACATAGAGACACAAATACTTAAACATACCCACAAAGACACTTATACATATATAAATACATATATCCTCACGCAGGCACGCACATAATACTCAGACACACATACACTTAAATGTACATAAACAGACACAAACACAGACACATACACATTCATGCACATATAAACTAACACACACACCCAAATTCACACACACATTTACCTAATGACACGTTTCTGTTCACACGCGCATACATACAATTCACACCATGTTCCCTTAACTACACACATGTTTGCACACGCACTGCCATCGCCCAACATCAAAATGGGCCTACTGGGGCACCTGGGTGGCTCAGTCAGCTAACCATCCGACTTCAGCTCAAGTCATGATCTCAGGATTCTTGGGTTCGGGCCCCGAGTCACTCTGGCATGCCTTCCTACCTGCTGCCTCTCTCTGCTCCTGGAGGTCTCAGTGTTGGAACACACTTCCTCCAAAACACTTCTCTCCATTTCCCTCCCACCTCTGCTCAGTGTCACTAACTCTACTCCTCTGCATCCCTGAATCTAAACAGCTCAAAAAGGTGACGGATATTCCAAAAGTAACCCCAACACTGTCCACACAGCCAGCACCTAGGAAAATATACTCCTCTCCAGAGTGAAAGGCCACTGCATGAAGGAAAACACCACAGAGCTTTACGGAGTGATGAAAGGTCACACTTGCACCTACAAAGAGACAATGTTCCGTGGTGGAGAGGGGAAAAACTGTAAGTTGTGCTCTCTCTTACCAAATAAATCCAGAGACCTGCCTTATAAAAAAAAAGGGGGGGGGAATACCAGCACACAAAAAAAATAAGTAGATCAATAGAAGATAAAAGTAGTCCAGAAAAACATCACATTATAGATCTTAATTTTCAACAGATAAAGTTAACAAAAGTCTGCTAGAAAAAGAAGACTCGGTCAATAAATGATGCTGAAAATTTTTATTCACATTTTTTTAAATCAACATTGGTCTCATCTCATATAAAACAACTTGGAATATTTTCATATGGTGCTAGGATTGTGTTTTAATTAAAAATGCACAGAAAGAAAATAGAAGTTAACACCCTAATTAATGATAGGGTGGTTTTCTGAACTTCTGTGCTATCAATCATCACAAGCATCAGGAATCTTTGTCACCTTTTTTTTAACTTCATCACTTAAAAAAACCAAAACAAAACAGAAAACAAAACCTCGCTGTTTCAATTTGCATTTCTTTGCTTTTTAGTGAAACTGCAATGAATAGTCCAGTAAAGGAAATGAACAGGCAATTCCCAGGAGAAGGACTACAGATGGCTGATAAACATATGAGATGTTCAGCCCAACTTAACCTAACTATAATGAGGAAACTACAAATTAAAAACACATGATGTGCAGTGTATTGCTTTTGCCCATAAGACAAGCAAGGATGAAAAAGACTGATAGTACCCGGTGCTAGTGAGGGTGTAAGGAAGTGAGTACTTTTATACTCTCTTGGTCACAGAGCCTTTCTCTAAGGAAACTTGACAGTGTCCATTACAATAAAAAATGGACTTGCTCTTTCACTCAGCCTTTTACTCATCCGTCTCCTTCCCAGGAAACATTCACATTTTGTACTATGTGCATAAAATAACACCCAGAGAAATGTTGGTTGCAGAACTATTTTTTTATTTGTTATTATTTTTTATTTGAGAGAGAGCGTGAGCCTGTGTGTGAGCGGGGGAGAGGGGCAGAAGGAGAGAGGGAGAGAGAGAAAGAGGGAGACTCTTACTTAAGAAGGAAACTCTTAACTAGGATTCATGCCCAGGTTGGAGCCCAAAGTGGGGCTTGATCCCACGACCCTGGGATCATGACCTGAGCCTCAATCAAGAGTCAGACGCTCAACCATCTGAGGTACCCAGGCATGCTGCAGTATTATTTATAATGGGGGGGTGGAGGGGAAGGGAAACATTTCAAAGATCCATCAAAAGAAAGAGGTAGTTACATAAATTGCTACACAACCAAATTGTGGAATACTGGAGTATTCTGTGTGTTCATGTGTCTCTCTGTGTCTCTCTTTCTACTTTCCTTTGGACTCAGCCACCATGTTGTAAGGAAGCCCAGGCCACACAGAAAGGCCACATGGAGGTGTTCCAACCAACAGCCCTGGCAAAGGTCCCCAGCCAACCAGCCCGTACACGAGTGAATGAGCCTTTGGATGATTCCGCTTTCTAGTCTTTGAATCTTCCAGCTGGGGCCCCAAACATCTCAGAGCAGAGACTAGCTATCCCCTCCGAATTCAGCTATCTGCCCTGCCTGCATTCTTGACCCTCAGAAACTGTGAGTGTAGTGAAAGATCCAGCTCTCACTAGGTTTGGGGGCAATTTGTTATGCAGCCATAGTAATTCAACAGACTGATCTTACCTGTCATGTTTAAATATGTTCTAGTTCAACAGCTCATTGGCCAGTGTCTACACCGTAGTGCACAGTCCTGGTGGGGCCCTGTGGTTCCCCAAGGACAACATGGGGAGTTTGACTCCTTCTACCCGTCATCCCTTCCTGTGTTTGTTTGCTCAAAGTATTCACATACACCAGTTTCAGAATTGTCCATCTGTACCCCTCCGGGAAACTACCTTACTAACTACATTACAGTGTCCCTATACCCTTGCGTTCGTGTCTAGCCTTGCATTTTCTGGTCAAAACCCTATTTTCCAAAGTCATGTGAGCTTGTTCCTTTATTCCTCCAGAATCTATGTATGCTCAACAATCCTGCCACATAGGCATCTTTAACCCTACTTTATAGGGGGAGGTTGAAGTTCAGAGGGGTGAGGTGAGGCACAGGTAGGAGGGATGAAGTGGGGTGCTTATACCCCAAACCCAGAGGCAGGGCTGTTTTCCATGCTGCCCAGATGCTCTTTCTTGTGGGTCACTTCCCAGCAAGTGGCTTAGAGCAAAGCCCCACCAAAGATGTGCAAATATCCTTCACCCTCATGTGGACTCTGGGTTGCTTCTGTCCATAAGAAGGTGCTCTTTCCCAGCCCCTCCCCTTGCTCCCTGCAGATATTTAGCTAAGTAAGGCCACCCATACAGGGTTCCTGCCCTCCCCTGCCCCCCGGGAAAAGGAGGGAAGAATGGTTAAGGCCCAGGCCCGCCCAGCCCACTGCGTCCCAGGCGCTGAAGTTTTCCAGCTGGTTCCCCAACTTTGCCAAGAACTTCCGTGCTCCACTGCTGTGGCCGACAGGGTTGGTGTGCAGAACTCCTAAAGGACCAACACAGCATTTTCTTGGAGCTCTGACTCCCAGCCAGCTCAGCTCAGCTCACACATCGCATGTAAACCCTAAACCTCATCAAGAAGGCCTGGGGTGCTTTCCAGCCTTAACTTGTCTTCCAAAGTTACCCTGCCCAGTCTCTGTGTTTCTCAGCCGGGAAGAGGCTAACAGGAAACAAGCCAGCCAGAGGCACGGTGGGAACCGGAGACGCCACTTCTGGCTTCCCTTCACTTCGAACTCCAGAGGTTGGCTCGTGCCACAAGCTATGCTACCGGGAGAGTCAGCTCATTCACCCTAGAGCCCATGAGCTTCCAGAAAGTGCCTGTCCACTCGGCCAAGAAGCCTGATGTTGCCTACAGGGGTGCATCAGTCCTGACATTTTTATGGCCGAGCTGCTATATAAAATGTCTTGGGGCGCCTGAGTGGCTCTAGTCAGTTAAGCATCTGACCCCTGATTCCATCTCAGGTCATGGTCTCACCGTTCAGGAGTTCAAGCCCCGCATCAGGCTCCAAGCTGACAGCGCGAAGCCTGCTTGGGATTCTCTGTCTCTCTCTCTCTCTCTCTCTCTCTCTCTCTCTCTCTCCCTTGCTCTCTGCCCCTCCCCGACTTGCGCGAGCGTGCGCGCGCTCTCTCTCTCTCCCTCTTTCCAAATAAATAAATAAACTTTAAAATGTCTTAGGTGGGCAATACTCTTCTTCTTCATACTAGAAAATAGGGCTCCTTGAGGTAGTACCAACCACCTTACCACTGCCCTGCAAAGAACTCCTGTAATCAGACTCAACACCCGAGGGAGGGAGAAGAGTGGTGGCTGCCTGGGTCGCTGCTGGCCAGGTGCAGGGTGGGCTCCAGAGTGGGGAGTTTCTCCCAGTGAAGGTCAGTCCCCAGGAATTCTTGATGACCTCAGCCTTGTGCCAATGCTGCAGAGAAAGTGCCAGAAGGTATCGGACAATTTGAGGATTAGAGTAAAGAAGCACTCTCTTTTTGGTCCATTTTCTGTTGCTTCTTGTAACTATTTAAAAAGAAGTGAGTCAGGGGACCATGTAAGGAAAAACTCAGCCACAGAGAAATGTAATATGAAGAACGCTTCCTCAGGCTCTCCAAGCAAGTGGGGAAGGGAGCTTTGCTTTTTTTCCCTTCAGCCTTAATAACAGGCTGCTGCTTCTCCGTGGTTTGTTTGGAGCTGTCTCAGGGTTTTGACCTTAACCTCAGGGCGCCCACACAAATAGCGTAGGCTTCCTCTGTCATCAGAGAGCAGGGAGGGGGACACCCTTCGGGCTGGGTGCTGGGGTGTGTCTGTGGCTGTGCTCCAGGGCCCAGAGTCCTGCCTCCCTCCTGCCTAGCTCCGGTTCCAGGGATCTCGAATGTTCAGCGAGATTTCTGGATGCAGAAGTGTCTTCTTCCAACCTATGCTTCCTTGTAAGGGTGATTTCAGCTGGTAGGAAGGACAGCCCGGCTGGAGGCCATGTACATGATGACCCAGAAGTTCCAGGATCCTGGCAGCTGGCCACTCCCGGTGCATGTTCTTAGACAGCCATACTGGGAGCTCTGGGGAAAGGGCTGGGTCTTCCCTCTCTCTTTGTCCAAAATATG